CCGACCACCGTCCAGCATGGCAGTGACGTGGTCGACGTCGCCTGAGTAGGTATTCGTGGCCAGAGCGCTGCAGGCGGCTGCGGCTGCGGCCGCTGCTGATACTCCGCCTATCTTCGGCCAACCGGCCGCTCGCGTTCGCCCTCATTCTCAGTTTGTCTCTGATTGTCTGTTTCGCCTTCGCCTTCTTGTCTGTCAGTCATCGTCAACGATTCGTTAATCATCGAGAAACTTCTGTGAACTGCAGCTTCAACTTTGCTAACAGTTGAGGCCTGAGCCGGCTGCCCTGCCCTTAGCGCGTTTCGCCTGCCAGGCGGACTCCGTTGGCTGCCTCTTCTTTCCTCGCTTCCTCTATCCTCGATCGGCTTGGCTTTCTGGCTGGCGTTCGACGACAATCGCTTCACGACCGACGACGGATATCGAAGCCAGCCGATCGGTTCCACTGAACGTCCGCCCGTGCTGCACTGGGCTTTACGATTCGATTTCGGTTTCGGTTTCGACCATAGCCGCGACGACCGCAACGAAAGCACAGGGCAACGCCGTTCCGGCAACGGATTGACTTACAGACAGGTAACTGGCTGACGATCGTCGATCGTTAAAACGTGCATGTTTGAGCCATGACCGGTCATTGCATCCTCTACTGTTGGCCGTCATACTCGCCCGTCCGTCCGTCCGTCCGTTGCAACGCCAAACGCGTCGTTTACCGGTTCAGATAGCTCAGTTACGGTAGCGTTGTCGATTTTCAATCCTCTAATTGTTCGCGATAATTAATATCATGAGTGCATGTATTTGCACATGAGCTTTGGCCAACTTTAGCTTCCCACCGACGAATAGTCGAAAATCGATTTGCTCAACGCCGTAACAAATCGTTTAGTCGAACGTGAGTTACGCGTACCGCGGAAGTGTCGGCCTCGAGCCATGAAGGAGGTTGACGATCGGCGGCCAACTGCAAACAGAAACACTTCACGTTTTGCTGGAAACCTCGTCGTTTCTCGATCGTCATTCAATCGAATCGCAAATTCATTAGGTAAACCCGGAGGAACTGTGAGAACTGTTTGAGGTTGATCAACATAGCGCAGGAGGTCGAAACGGAGAGTGGTTAGCGGAGGACTGTGCGATGGTCAGATGAACTAAAGTCACACGGCAGCAACGTCCAGCCTTCCGTTTAAGACTAAACGACTGCTGGAGTCTGGCACACCTTCTGATGCCTTAAATATAGATCCGCATCAAAGGACTTAAAGGATAGAAGGATTATAAGACGGCAAGAAAAATTGAGGAATTATGTTCATTATTAAATGCTTACAGCTGAATAGTCTGACAGATGGCTAAGATGTCTTAGACTTAAATGGGGATGATGACGTAAACTCATTGCGAGGTTGGGAGGGGTTTTTTTCAAACTTTCAGGACTGAGTGAAACAGCACGGTAGAGAAGCACACGGCTTCGGCGACGCACTTGTCTGACTAACTTACAGACACAACACCGGCGTACGGTTGCTCATGATTAAACGAACCCTTCATTTTCGGGCATACAATTACTGAATGGCCAATGAATACATTTTCTCCGTATAAACCCGGTATCAATATTAAAAGGTTATAATTAAAGGTTAAATCGGAGAGCTGCTGTCGTGGCAGCTAACCCCGAACATCGAGGATAAGTTTTGTTTTATTTTGTTTATGCATTTGCTTGAGCACAGGGACAGATTTTATTGATGCTCGAACACGTCTTTGTTCATTCAAGCTCAAACTTAAATCCAATGCACTGCAGGTGCTCAAACACCATGGAGTTGTGGCCTGCTTAATTGGTCCCAATAGGCGACTAGAGGCAAGGTAACGGTGTGGTGTCACTAACTGAAATGTATTTACCGGCGGAATTGAAAAGCTGCCATTCGTGAAAGATGCCTCAGACCCTCGCGGTTACATCTTGTTATATTTTGTCTACGTACCGAATTGCACATCTTTAAGCAGAAATCAAAGTTGGGGCGCAAGCAGTGATGCGATGCGTAGCGGTTTTGCTACCACATGAAGACCATACAACTTTCACTCAGAATTAAGTAGTAAAGTTAGGTTAAACTCGTCTTTTGCATCAAGAAATATGGGACTCAAATCCTTCTATGAGACTCAAAGTCAAAATCAAGGCCCATTGAGAATAGTTCATATTTTCTTAGACAATAATGACGTTTATTCGGTTGTTGTAAAGTTTCGTTGGTTTCTTAACTGTGACCTTGAGCTTTTATTTGTTTATTTGTAATGACGATCATTGGTCAAAATGAGGTGCATTACAGTTAATGTAATGCTGCAAACAAGTAATCGCATAAATTGCCATAATTTTGGAAAAAGTTTTGACTTCTGATGTTAATGAACTGTTTTAAGGCGGATTCAATCACTGCCTGATTACAGACTGATTTCTCTTGGGTAGGGGGGTACTATTGACATCACTGAATAACTCGTTAATCGGCTAGAGGAATGGCATAGGCAACAGAAAGCTTTTTGACATGCCGGAACGGTGTCTAGGATGTCGTCTTCGAAATCCGGGTAAGACCAATCTTTAGCTTAGCCTCGAATTTCCTTGAATATTAAATTCCTCAAGGGTCGCTTCAAATTGGGGTTGTTCAGTTGGTAGAGCTTCGGAATCTTAGGTCTGGTCAGTCGCCTTCATTGCTGTCGAGGTTAATAAACGAGTAATACACTCTGTCAGAAGTACACAGCAGATTGTGCATTACGCTTGCCACGTAGCTGCTGTAGATTCCACCTTTTATGAAAGGAGACATCGCTGGCTGATGGCGTGAAAATAAAGGCCAGCGCCATGCCAATAACTTCGTGAACGGAAGGGCACCAAAAACGGCTGCATTATGAAAGTGCAACGAAGACTGTCATCCCAACGCTTACTACCTTTTCTCTTTTCCTTTCATTCGTCGCCCCGAATGATTCGGTTTTAAAAACACCGCACAATGGAAACAACTAGAAAAAATGGATGGACAGTTTTTAACAATCAAATTGAATTTTTCGTTTTCGTCGACCTCACCCTCCTGTGAACCGAGGGAAGTGTTTTCTCGAAATTTGTTGTCGTCTACATCCGATTCTTTTCGTCAGTCTATTTCGATTTGGTTCGTCTTCAGGTCATTTGTGCGTGGCGTGGCTAACTTGTCACTAATCTCTCGGCTTGCCGTATCATGCTTCAGGCTTGACGTTAAAACTAGGTGATCCATCACTGGCTTTCGAGCAGCCTGCCGACGAGCCACACGACAACTTCGCTCACACACTGAATCGTTCGTCGGATCCACGTGACCGAAGGGCATGAACTATCTGACGAAGTTTTGATTACATGAACGAATTTCTGCCAGCCGTGGCGACTGCTCATTCATTCGTAGAAATTAATTAATGACAAGGATCATAAAGTCTCGTTATTAATATTAAATCGTTCCATCATGCAAACTCAGACACATCGAAACGTCTGCTGAGTGAACGAGGATCAATGGAAAGAACTTGTGCTGGTTATTGATTTTAAAATTTCTTTGGTAGACAGGCACGAACGGACGACAACGACGAGTGGCAGAACAAAAATGAGAACTTGTCGGAATGGCAAGAAACGAAAACCGATCGAAGACTGTGAAAGGATATGAAAATTTGGTATTTCGTGCACGTTTTGCTCAGTTGGTTGAGGGTTTGACTCAGAACCGTAAGATCCCTAGTTTGAGCGTTGATCCGGTCACTCATCTCTCCTTCTTCCAGAGATGATAAATGAGTATCACCCTGTGAAAAGGAACCACAAACTGTAAGCTTTCACTATGATTGCCTTCGCTGGCTGCCGCCAACTTTGTCTTGGGAAAACTATTACTCTGCAGACTGATTGCATCTAAATGGAGATCAGCGGTTTACTATTGACTTCATGAGCAGAAGGCCGCCAGAAATAGTCCTATCACGAGAGTGCAATGAAGACCGACATCCTCATGCTTGCAAACTCTGCTTTTCCTTATTTCCGTCTTAATTACAGAGACTTCTTTTATGAATGTATTACGTCAGCCTTTTCCGTAGTTCCTTTTATAATTTTCAACAACTGCTGACTAGCTCTTATTCTCATCATTATTCAACTACTCTCATTCCTAACGTTGGAAATGGTGTGAAATCCAAACATATGGCAAAATATCAAAATTTATAGGGTGATGCTACCTCGCCAATCGGTTTTTCGTTTCTAACATGCCTATCTATAATAGAGTAGTTAAATATAATAGACTAGTATAATAGGTAGTTCAGACGGAATGACTCCTTAGTATCGTTTATAACGATAATCCTCCACCGTGTTGCTATGTTCAGAGGTGCCGCTTGTCAGGCAGAGCTTTACCGGTAAACTGTTGTCCCAGCGACAGCGCGTATCCTCAAGTACTCCAGTAAGCACAGCAATATCTGGCGATGCTGAAAATGGTATGGTTCTCTTTCTGGTTACTGTGATAACGGTACCAACACATTCCTGACATTACAACGCGCCGTCGTCGTTCGTGATTACGTAGTTCAACGTTGACAAACGATTCGTCTCCTGTGACTTCAATTTGAGCAATTTAAACTTTCAAGCTTCAAATGAACCATGATATATTACTTTATATCATATCACTTGTCACTCGAATTGTAATAACAATATTCACTTCTGTTCAGAGGACTGATAATATAATATACAGGTTAAGGAAAAACGCCATGGGTGAGTTAATTCACCCTATATGTAGATCGGGTGTGTGGCACAATGATAAGATATCGATTTCGAGTTGCTGGAGTGCAGGGTTGGAACATCGACGAGAGACGATCGTTGTCTTGGAGGCAACTTCCCCTTAGCACGGAATTTGCTCCACGTGTTTCGGTGCAACCAGCCAGAAAACGGATACTAATTTGACTTGAGAAGGAACAGAGACAACCTGGCATTGTGGTGTGGTCGTATCAGAGTGGGCGAGGTGTACGGCCACACCATCCGATGTGATCCTCTCATGTTGCTGCACTTCGCATCGACCCAGCTTAGAGCTGATCACCACTATGAAAATCTGAGTACGTTGTGTAACCAGCAAAGAGGCTTGTAGCGTGTATTTTTTTTTTATATTTCTTAGTGTTTTTTGTTCAGTATTATTTGACACCTTTTACCTTCCAGTTTGGACTCGCCGACCTCTGTTCAGAGGGAATTAGCTGATTAGAAGATCCTCTCATGCTTTCTTTCAAGCTAAACCTGCGGTTACTCCTAATCATCCGGGTGTTGTCTGCCTTCAAAGTATATAAAGAGATACGTTATCCCCTGATCACAATCGTCTCGTTATTTGTCGTCTGAGAATTCGTGGCAGGCTCTGACGATTTAGAATAATACACACTTCGCTTTCGGTCGTACTTTGATCTGACATGCAATCCTCTGCGTAAACACGGAGAGATTTACGCGGATATACTGTTGAGATTTCTGTACCTGCGGAGGAGGCGACTTACACCAAAGGTGCTTTAAAGCTGCTTAAGTAAAAGCAGATCAAAAGTATTTTATCATTAGGCTTGATTCTATGAAACATGTATATTCAGTGTAAGT